TACTGATTTTAAATTTTAATGCGATTGTTGCGGTTATAACTGAAAATAGAAAGTTTTTTTTTCAAATAATTCGGAATTGCTACTCCATCTACATATATAGCACAATTTTAATCAGACTTGAGATTGATTGATTGTTTGTTGTTTTATGTCTTATTCGATAATTTTTCACTGATATAGAGACGTCACCATATACCGGTGAAGGGCCTCAAATTTGGATTTTACTCGGCACTCAGGGCCATTGAGCAGTGAGGGTTCTTTATCGTGCCAACGCCTACTGTGACACGGGGCCTCGGTTTTTAAGGTCTCATCCGAAGGATCCGTAACTTTCACTTCAAAGTGCCGGGCGGATGCGGAAGGAACAGTTGCTACCCATTTTTTATCGACTTAGGTCAGTCGCCGCCGAGGTTTGAACTCGCAACCTTCCGACCACGGAACAAGCGCTCTACCGACTGAACTACCGTGAACGGTTCAGACTTAAGACATAAGTAGTCTGTATCACGATACATAATTTGGTTAATGGATATTTAATTTCGACAAACGAAGTTGCCATGGACACTTAAAATAAGATAATCTATGTTTTTTTAAAGCTGCTTGTTATATTATAAATCTAGCCTTAAAAAAATAATTGAAGACTCAAATGGACTATTGCATTGCACACATCAATTTTTTTTAATTTTTTTTTTTATTTTTATTATTATTATTTTTTATTTTTTTAGCTCACCTGAGCTGAAAGCTCAAGTGAGCTTTTCTGATCACCCGTCGTCCGTCCGTCTGTCCGTCCGTCTAGCTGTCCGTCCGTCTATAATCTTTTCACATTTTCAACTTCTTCTCAAGAACCACTTGGCAAATTTTAACCAAACTTGGTACAAAGTATCCTTGGGTAAAGGGGAGTGTAAATTGTTAAAATAAAGGGCCAAGTCCCCTTACAAGGGGAGATAATCAAGAAAAGACAAAAAAAGGGTGGGGTCATTAAAAAATCTTCTTCTTAAGAACCACTGGGCCAGAAAAGCTGAAACTTATGTCGAAGCATCCTGGGATAGTGTAGATTGTAAGTTGTTAAAATCATGACCCCCGGGGGTAGAGCGGGGCCACAATAGGGAATCCAAGTTTTACATTGAAATATATAAGAAAAATCTTTAAAAATCTTCTTCTCAAGAACCACTGGGCCAGAAAAACTGAAACTTATATGGAAGCATCCTGGGGTAGTGTAGATTGTAAATTGTTCAAATCATGACCCCCGGGGGTAGGGCGGGGCCACAATAGGGAATCCAAGTTTTACATTGAAATATATAAGAAAAATCTTTAAAAATCTTCTTCTCAAGAACCACTGGGCCAAAAAAGCTGAAAACATATATGGAAGCATCCTGGGGTAGTGTAGAATCAGTCTTCGACAAATCCCGGGAGTCCGAAGCCCGGGACCTGGTAAAATTGGAAGGGGGCATGTGGAAATTGCATACTACAAGCCCGAAGGGCATGTAAATTCTGAGGCCTAAGCCTCCGTATTATCAAATTAAATAATACTAATAACATAAAATGTACTTAAAAGTCTGATTTTTCATCTAACGTCGAGCACCAAATAAATTTTAACGATAGTTTATTCTACCGCGGTTTCCAAGGAACTCTTTTGCAAAGGAGACACAAAAAGTATACACGTTGAAAATAATATTAATGGCGAGACAATAGATCGATAAAAATGGATTTCGGATCATTTCCTTGGCATGAAAAGGCAAATAAGAATAAAAATACTTGATAAAATTCTGGGCATGTAAATATTTGTTCGGGCTAGCATAATAAGTGGTTAAACCTGCCCAAAGGGCATGTACTGAAAAAAAGATTTGGCGAAGACTGTAGAAACTAAATTGTTCAAATCATAACCCCCGGGGGTAGGGCGGGGCCACAATTGGGAATCCAAGTTTTACATTGAAATATATAGGAAAAATCTTAAAAAATCTTCTTCTCAAGAACCACTGGGCCAGAAATACTGAAACTTATATGGAAGCTTCCTGGGGTAGGGTAGAATCTAAATTATTCAAATCATGACCCCCGGGGGTAGGGTGGGGCCACAATAGGGAATCCAAGTTTTACATTGAAATATATAAGAAAAATCTTTAAAAATCTTCTTCTCAAGAACCACTGGGCCAGAAAAGCTGAAACTTAAATGGAAGCTTCCTGGGGTAGTGTAGATTATAAATTATTCAAATCATGACCCCCGGGGGTAGGGCGGGGCCACAATAGGGAATCCAAGTTTTTCATTGAAATACATATGAAAAATCTTTAAAGATCTTCTTCTCAAGAACCACTGGGAAAGAAATACTGAAACTTAAATGGAAGCATCCTGGGGTAGTGTAGATTCTAAATTGTTAAAATCATGACCCCCGGGGGAAGGGCGGGGCCACAATAGGGAATCCAAGTTTTACACTGAAATATATTAGAAAAATCTTTTAAAATCTTCTTCTCAAGAATCACTGGGCCAGAAAAGCTGAAACTTATATGGAAGCATCCTGGGGTAGTGTAGAATCTAATTTTTTAAAATCATTACCCCCGGGGGTAGGGCGGGGCCACAATAGGGAATCCAAATTTAACATTGAAATATATATAAAAAATCTTTAAAAATCTTCTTCTCAAGAACCACTGGGCCAGAAATACTGAAACTCATATGGAAGCATCCTGGGGTAGTGTAGATTCTAAATTGTTCAAATCATGACCCTCGGGGGTAGGGCGAGCCACAATAGGTATATTAAAAGGGGGGAGATCGGTAAAGAACAGCATGGCCAAAGTTACTCAGGTGAGCGATGTGGCCCATGGGCCTCTTGTTTTTTGTTTTTTTTTTTTTTGTTTTTTTTTTTGGATAGGGGTATTAACCTGTCACAGACTGTCACTACCAAAAAAAAAAAAAGAAAAGAAATGTTTCAAAGTATTTTAAAACTATTTTAGATCTGACTAGTCTAATGTTCTTGTAAGGAATGGACTTCACTTTTGAGAGAAAAGTGGAATATTTTAGTAAACCAGTAAATATCTATAGAGATGTGTGTTTTCTGTGCCTCTGGTTTGTCTCTTTTAAAACAAGATTCATTGCATTCATTATGCATGTATTGTGAATGTCTTACCTTAAAAGATTCCTCATAGGCCCTACATATAAAAATTACGAAGGCATGAAAAGGTTGCTTTGTCGGTCATTCCCTTCAATTCTAACTCAGTAACGTCTCTGCAATTTTTTATCCTGAGATATATTTTATATTCGTAGTTACATGATTAAAATGAGTTATTTGCGGATGATATTTAAGGACAGAAAAGACTGATATTCAAATGTGTAAATATATGTACCTCAAAGAAGATTTTTTTCTAAATTCTGTATTTATACAGGTGATTAATTAGTATTTTTTGTCGTATTGACTTCAATGAATTTTTATTCAGAAGTAAATGTTGAGTTACATTTTATGTACAAGTGTTTATGTTTTCTACAACGAGAAAAATAGTTTTAATTTTTTTTCCCCTCGTAATCCTGCATCTTCGATATGGGAGGGAAGGATTGGGTATTAAACGTCTTTATCCGATCAAAGTTGTTGGTTCTTTCTGAGTTTATAAACCTTAATTGGAATTATAAAATATTTACATCCACTTTTAGATCTTGTATGAAAGAAAGGATTATCAATGTCAGTGACGATTGCTATTGAATTTCACTCTTGTTTTCTTGCCACATGAACTCATAAGATGTACAATAAAGGTCTTAATACAGCACACGCACGTGCAAATGCATGCGATCGTTGAACTCGGTGACTTGTCATTTGCATTTTAGTAAAATTCAAGTTACGCTGCGGCTTTGATTCCCAGTCTTCTAAAGAGTAGCAAAAATTGTTTGGCAGCAAGTGGCAGTATCTATGATAGTGAATTGAAGAGTACTCGATCGACAAAGACAGCATCATGCCTATAAATCAAAAGCAGTTTTCGCTGATTCACTTCATTTGTTTTCGTTCTATGGCTTTACCAATCAAGAAGTTTTTGAGTTCTTTATGTAAAAACTGTAAATTTTAGTGAAACTTAACATCGTCTGTAATATCTATTTAGACCTCTTTCTGCACAAAAATATTATTATATGCACCACTTCCTAAAGTTTATATGATTTTTTACAGTTTCTCTGAGGCCTAAGTAAAGACCAAGTTTTGTGTGGCCAAATTTTTTATATTTCTTATAATTCCTGCCTTTGTTGTCGGAGTTTTGCTCCGATACTAAATCCTTACCCCCAATTTGGAATGCTGGTCCAATTTATCTGCTCTGAAGGCATGTCAAAAAAAGAATATAAGCAGTTTATGAAAGTAACATAACATTTCACACCTGTGGTAAGCCTGCTATTGTTAAACAAGGTTCGCAATCTGATTTCTACCAAAAATGGGAGAGCCCTTTGCACCTTGGTTTAAGACGCGGTACTAAGACTCTAAGTAGATTACGATGGTGTGCACGATAAATATATATATACGAGTTGTTATTAAGAGTAGTATAAAATTAGATTCCTTTTTAATTTGTTATAAGTCATCAGAATGTATTATAAGCCAGATAAATCTCAATATTGTACTTGTATCCCCAAAAGTAACAAATGCGTTATATTTCATAAATGCCAACAATTTTACTAATTTACCGGAATTTTTACCTCAAATTATATTTTTTCTAAAATTGTTTGGATAATATTCATAATAAAGAGTGTCATCTTAATCAGAATAAAATATACACATACTTTATGTTCTGAATTAACGATATGGTTTGATTTAAGAAATCATTTTGTACCAAAATGTTTAAATGAAATTCGAATAAGTTCTTGAAACTTTTGGGGGTGGGGAGGGGATAAAAAAACTTTTTATCAGGTTTTGCAGACACTTTATTTCTTAGTAATCGTAGAATGTAGTGTAGAGAAGGGTTTGTCTTTGTACAACAGGTGAAGTTTCCTCTTATTCTTAATTTAGGAATTTTTATTTCATAAGACTATTGAAGGATTCATTTATTTTTAGAAACAAGAGAGTTTAACCTAGCCGCCCTAATTGCTGAAAAAATACCCAAGATTTGTCGAAAAGAATGGACCCCAAATTACAAAAGCTGAGTTGGTAGAGGATTAGCAATCTAACACCGCGCACCTGGTCTGCTAGTGGCAGGAGTGAACGGGTGTCGGATAGAACAAGGTGCGTTATTCACCAAGTTAGAATATATCGGATGTTACTCAATATGGTAAAGTTGTCTTAAATTATTTATTTTTATTTCATATGTCTTATGCATCAGATCAGATCAGTAGTATTTTTTTTTTTGGAGATTTTTTACATTCTATTTTTTTTTTTACATTCGATGTACTTGCATTGTTTTTTATCATGTTACTTTGGGTAATTTTTTGTGTGTGAAATTTTTGGAAATTATAAAAAAGTATGGGTTATCATATAGTACAAAGATATATATATATATATATATATATATATATATATATATATATATATATATATATATATATATATATATATATATATATATATATATACATCAGTTGACCAGATTTTTTTTTTAGGTTTTTGAACTGTTATTTCTCTGTTCGTTTTTCTTCAGTGAATAGATTATTTTACCCCAGATCTGACATTTCTTCAAAAATAATGTTGTACTTAAGAAACAGTCGCTGTATTTGTAACAATGGAAGCCGATGATCATCTGCAACTCTATAGAAAATTGAAGATCACTTAAGACCCTGCACTGTGTTCATTATTCCGATCGAAATTCCTACATTAGTCCATTTCATCACTGATTTCTGACCGTAAACGTATCTAGATTTAGTTATCTGTAATAGACTTGACCGGTAGCTTCTATCATCAGTTTTCCTTCCTCGTATTGTTTGTGTCGCCGTAACGAGTTGAGGTAATTCGTTCCGCAGACGTGTCCCTGCTGATTGAGCTATTCTTAGAGGGGTCGTTAAATGACATAATTTGTGCCTATTTACCAAATGTATTTTTTGTCAATTTTATCTTGGTTTTCAGTTCGTAAAAAAAATGCGTCAGTTTTACATGAACTGAGGGGGTGACTGAATTACTGAGTACTTCAATCCTTTGAATGTTTTATATTTTGTTACTGAATTTTATGTTGAAATTGATTAGGAGAGAATTAAAGTGTCATATAAATTATGAACGGATAATGGCAAAAAAATACCTTGAAACTCGAATATTTAAAATTACCACAGTTTCCTACACTGAAATTACTTCTTCAATGTGTATTCATTTTCTCGAATTGAACGTCCTGTATTTTACTACATAAAAATAGCACGTGTTATTTTCAGTTGATTATGGAAGAGACAAATGTTAGACTTTTAATTTAGTTAGAAAATGTTTTCATTAAGAGTTGTCGCCCGTGCGGCGCAGTGGTTAAAAAATCTAATTATCACTACACACCTGTGCCGCGGAACGTCAACGTTTGCTCTGGAGTCGCGGAGTAGGGAATTGATCCTTACATCGCTGATTCGAATCCTATTCCCGGACGTGGAGACCAATCCTTCGGATGAGACCATATAAACTGAAGTCCCGTGCCGCAGTAGGTGCTGGCACGAAAAAGATCCCTTATTGCTCAATCCCCTTGAGTGCCAATCATACATGTAGAACTAAATTTACACACCGGCAAGTGGTGTCGTCTCCATATGAGTGGAAAATTCTCGAGAGAGACGTTAAAAACAAACAAATCATTAAGAGTTAAGAGACATTTTTGCAAATTGTCAGAATCATCTTTTTGTTGAAGCATCATTATGATTGTAATGATTATGATTTATTCCTCATTATCTGTATGGAGCTTTATTTCAAAAGAGATTCCTGCTTTGTAGACTCATTCTCATAGGGAAAAAACGGGTTCTCACACACTTTTGTAATGGGACGTATAGGAAGTGATTTTCACTGAAATAACAGATTTGGAATGTTCAATATCTCCCGCTCTTTTCTGGTAGCGACCTTGACAAACCTTGATGAGATTGTGAGCACTTTGTGTTAATTAAGTCTTATTCCTGTCATGACCCGATCCACGGCACAGATGTGTAGTGATAATTAGATTTATTAATTGTACATCCATACATAGACTTTTTTTTCAAACTTGCAAACTAGTAAGATAAATAATTTCTTTTGCGTGTTTTCCTATCACAAATTATTCTTTAAAAACATGGAACGTGTTTGAAACTATTTTAATTTGATGTTCTTAACAAGGTTCCCACTGTTTGGGAGAGATTTGATCGTCTCACTTTAAATCAGTTTTTCGAACTACTGATTTTTTTTCTTTGAGGAAAAAAATACCAGTACAGCCTCTAGTGATGCATAGATTTTATCATATTGACCAGGCTACGCGATGGTCCGACAAATCCGGGGATAACTCTAATCGAAGTAGGAAGATTTTAATCCGACATTCCATTTATTCACAGATAAAACATCACATTTATGTCTGATTTTTTTTACCCGTTTTTAAAACGCAAAATATTGTTTGATTCGGGAACATATTTATCTATTATCTATAACAATTTTTAGTATACAATTGAATGTTTGCATCAGTGATATGATTATATATATATATATATATATATATATATATATATATATATATATATATATATATATATATATATATATATATATATAACGAAATTGAATGTTTGCATCAGTGATATGATTTTATATATATATATAAAACGAAATTGAATGTTTGCATCAGTGATTTGATTTTTTATATATATAAAACGAACGTTGAAAGAGCCATAGCGCATTTGTTAGGCTTTTTAGCCAACTCTCTAGCAGTGATTCTTAAACATATTTTTTTAACCGAAAATTAATCACACAATCTTACGTTATACATGTGTAAACTCAAATTATACATTAATGATATGTAAACGTTAATAGTTCCCTTATGATCGATTGATTGATTGATTGATTGATTGTATGTTGTTTTACGTCCCATGCGAAAATTTTTCACTCATATAGAGACGTCACCATATACCGGTGAATGGCTTCAAACTTTGACCTTTTTTCGGCACTCAGGGCCATTGAGCAATGAGGGATCTTTATCGTGCCAACGCCTGTCGTGACAGGGAGCCTCGGTTTTTAAGGTCTCATCCTAAGGACCCGCAACTTTCACTTCAAAGTGCCGAGCGCATGGCGAAGGAACAGTTGCTACCCATTTTTTATCGACTTAGGTCTGTCGCGGCCGAGATTCGAACTCACGACCTCCCGATCACGGAGCGAGCCCTCTACCGACTGAGCTACTGTGAACGGTGGTTCCCATATGTAATAAATATGAAAATCATATGAATGGAGTATATATTAGATATTAAGGTATCTACCTAAATGATGACAAACTGTTGACAAAACCACCCTTAGCCAGAAAACATTTAAATAGTTTTATTTGGGTATGACTGTATTTCATTACATTTAGATAATTACGTTTAAAGGTGGTTTTCATATTGAAAATGATGACAATATATATTCAATTTTCCTTCTCTTTTAAAGATTTAGCATCCCTCTTTTTTTATCCTTTCGACATCAATGATCTCGTGGCGTAGTGGTATGATTGCTGAAACGTAAATGTGGTGATTCCGAGTTCGAGTACAACATTTTATTTTCTTGCCTTTATAACTGTTTTCTTTTCTTCGTTTCTCTATTATTTTATAATAAACACAACTCCAGAAAGTTATAATAGACAAGTTTCACATTGAGAATATCTCGGGAAAAGACAGTTATAAACAATTAAAATGATTTTTGCAAATTCATAGCTACTCTTTTATTTCTAATGATTTTCTAAATATTTTGTCTCGAAATTAGAGAAGTGAACATGTAAAGTGAATGTTATACGGCATAGATGTAACACTCCTCCGTAAATGATAATGATATATCTGTAAATAGAAACGGGTGAGTTCCTTCTATATTCCTGAGTCGGCCATGTCGTCGGCAAGACAGCTATGGCGCTTTTCAAGGGATTTGCTCTCAACAATCCAAAGTCATTTTTCTTTCCAAATAAATAATAATAAATAAAAATTGGTTAAAGGGAGATTTAGATTTGAAAAATCATTTAAATTGTAATTGTTTTTGTATTTTCTATTACAGAGTCGAATATTAAGAAAAAGGGAATGCTTGAAGCTGCAGATTCAGTTACACATTCTGAGGAAAATGATTGTGTGAAGTGTTCAAATATATAGTGAAAAAAATAGATGGAGATTGATCATTGAGTGAGGAGAGAAAAACGTGTCTTTTCTTTTCCTTGATTTTTAGCCTATATTAGCTTGTCAGAATGGGAAACGAAGAACAACTCAGAAGGCAAAGGTTGTGATTTGAATAATGGAGGATCTGAATTTCCTTGACCCTTACTTGGGTCTTCAGCTGCTGGACCTGAATGGGTCCTTTTTGAACTTCAGTTTATCGAGTTTTAACCTCTCCATTAAGGATGTTATAAACGATGATTCGATGTACGAGCGGAATCTCCTTATGTACTATTTAATGGGGATTTGTGGAATGGCCGTATGCTCCTTCGGTATTATCGGGAACATTCTATCTGTTGTCGTGCTGTCCAGGGAATGTATGAAGAGTTCTACATATTCCTATTTAACAGCTTTATCAATTAGTGATTTACTATTCCTTATTCTGACTATGTTCATTTTATCACGTGACTCTGAGAAGCCACATCAGGAAATCACCTGGGGTAAACCATTCTACATCAAGCTTTTTCCATACATTCACCCTGCCGCCATTACATTTCAAGTGACGTCTATTTGGCTCACGTGTGCTTTCACTGTTGATAGATACGTAATGATTTGCCATCCCTTTAAAGCTGAGCGGTGGTGCAAAATTTCCACTGCCAGAAAGACTATTGTAGGTGTATTCTTGGCAGGATTACTTTTCAACATTATTCGGTTCTTCGAATACGAAACTTCTGAAATAATTGTCGAAACAAATAGTACGGAGCCTCGACAGCTCGTTATTAAACTAACGGACTTGGGAAATAGCGAGGAGTTTCGAGAAATTGTGCACTCGTGGTTGTATCTTACATGTGTGGCTGGTATTCCGTTCTTGTCTCTTTTAGTATTAAATATTTTTCTCATCCATGCTGTTCACGAGTCCAGGAAAAAAGGGAAGCTGATTAACGCAAAAGAGAAGCGGCGTAACGACACGACAATCATGTTAATTGGTGTAGTGGTCATTTTTCTCATTTGTCAGGGACCTGCACTTATTTCCCGTATGATATGGGCTTTTGACTACCAGAAGGCGTTCGTGTCGGCGCCATGGTATACGTTCAATGAAGTCTCAAACTTCCTTGTCATTCTAAATTCAGCTATAAACATTGTCCCATATTATTTCTTCGGTAAGCGTTTCCGGAACGAATTCTGGAAGATTTTCTGTAAGTGTTTTTTCACGAAGGAAGAGATGACAAGATTATCCAGAAAATTAAGTGCTTCAATGAACGAACGCCAGCACAGTTTAGTTAACCAGAATGGAATTATCGAAGATAATCAATTACAAGTGTTTATGAATTCTAAAACTTTTAAGAAATTTGCCCAAAAATACAAGTCGGTTCCATCGGATGATGAACCGTATGATACTCGGGACAATGCAGCAGGACAACAGACAAATAACCATTGTGAACAAAATGGACACCCGGCTTTAAGGGTGAGCTTTGAACCCAATGGGAACTGTAAAGCACGGGTAGAAACCTGCGACACGTGCCAAGCAAACGCCTTATTATAAACATTGTTCAATTCGTTTTATTTAGATAGTTTATATTTCATTATTCTTTGAAAGATTATAAGAATATATTTATTTTACCGTTTTGAGATTCACATCAATATAATATGTTATATTGTTCTCTTTGGAGATTCATATTATGAATGTTATTTGTTCTCTTGCTCATTATATGATTTTCTAGAAAATTGATAATTAAATTATACCTGTGGTTCCTCTTTTATTCAAAGAATAATCTCTGTAATGTAATTTTACTCAAAGTAAAATGATTATTTACAGTTAGAATTGTTTTTCATTACAATTCAAAAATAAAAGTACTGTAAGTTACCAATTTGCGACACATTATTTTAGCAAGATAGTCATTGTTTATGATCGAGACACATTTTTTATCAATCTTGATTATCGTTCTTTATAATCTTTTATGATAAAAATATACGCTAGAATTAGATTTTCGCGATTAAATATAGCCACGCGTAATTACGCAAATATAAAATTGAAACGAAATACGAGTATTGGAGTCATTTCACATACGATTACCAAATTTAATATGGATATATCCGAAATTATGCATCCTTAATTGTCTTGAAGAAATATATATTAATTATTATTAGCTAAAATTTACAGTTAGCAGTTAGAAAGGTTACAATTGTATTTATATTATTTTGATAAACCGTGTGCGGAAACACAGAGAACTATGAGTAGTTTGTTGTTATTGTTATTATTGTGCGTGTGTTAAGATAAAGAAAAAAGATTAAGTTCTTTTGTTTACGATTCGTCAAAGGCGTAATTTGGTAAAATAGGGTCATTACATAAGAAAAAAATAAGCAATTTTTTTCTAATAATTTCTGCGTGTAGATTCCAAAAACACTAGATTTTGACGGATTTTTCCTCTTTTTTCAATCTTTGCAATGGTATAAAAACAGAAAATATGAAAGGGAAGTATAAATAAGATTTTTTCAGCTATCATGTATGAAAGGTAAAAAAGAAAGGTGTCTTTTTTTTTTAATGAATTTGAGATATTTCATGACGTTAATTCATTTAACTTCCTGTAAAATTCTCTATTCGTTCGAAGCAAGTTTGTTTTTATAACAAATTAGGAGAAGTTAAACCATCTACATGTATATATTTTCTTGCACTGTCTGGTAAGTGGACTTTTAAAACATAACAAGGTCGTTTTAGACAATTTAAGACAAATTTAGAACATTTTTTTTGCTTAGATTTACTCACTCGACAAAACGGTCTTCAAAGTCTTTTCTCACATCGTTGATTAAAGAATGTGGTCAAATACAAAGTTTTGGCCACATTCGTATATGACCCCGAAACAGATTTAGAATTATCACGCCATTTCTGACCAAAGTGTTGGTAATGGGTATAATTTTAATCTTCTGTGAATAGAAATTAGTCCTAGAGATTATCCCCTGTTAAATGCCTGTAAGTAACTGTTTTACTCTCGTCTTTAAACTCTTTGTTTTTCTATAACCTTTTCATTGAATTGGCAGCTTTTTAGACTTTTGCAAGTGTTTATAAATACAAGGAAGGGGAGGCTAACAACGATATTGACCACTTTACATCCTGCCAGATCCAATACATGTACTTCTGAATTTAAAAGAGTCATTAGTGACTTTATATGGATTTTAATTACATACTTATTAATAAATATTTTCTTTTAATTTTTTATTTTATATTGCATATGCATGCTTAACGTCACAATAGCCGTATCAGCCTCAAGGGCTGATAGGGATCAGCAGGGCTGATACGAATGTAAATCACACCCTGGTTGATTAAAACTTTGAAAACAATATTTGTAATCATACGTCTTTTTTCGTATATAAAATTTAGTATTTTATTTTAAATTATTGGTATTTGATATAATACGTTAGTCGGTGATTGCTTTAGTAGACGCGTGCTGTATCTTTTACCAAGTATGAAATAAACATAGTAAAACATACCCTTTTCCAATTCACATCCTGTATCAGCCCTAGAATCTTCGGCCCAATAGTTGATATTGGTATCTCGGGCTGAAACAGAATGGGATATGGAAAAGGGTATTATGATTTCTCTATATATAAAGTGTAGTGCTTTGACAAGGAGTATCTATCCAATCAAAATCCTTCATAGAGCTAATATAAGTTGAAGGAACTAATTCGTACATTTGGAAAACAGAATTTTTTAGGTCACCTGAGTCACTCAGGTTACCTATTGCTATCTGTATTCGTCCGTCGTGCGTCGGTCATACTTTTGAATCATTTTCTCTTGAATGCTGAACCTATTTCAGCCAAATTATTGCATCTTTGGGCAAAGGGGAACAAAAATTGTGAATTTATTATTTGCCTCCCAGGGACCCGAGAGATGTGAATTGTGATATTGAAAACTATTAAAATTAATGCAGTCCTCAAAAATGATCATTTCTACTGGATACCAAACAGTCAAAGTGTTGGCGTCACTTTAAAAAGCAATGAGTCTTTTAAAACAAGCAAGGTCATCGTTTTATGCAATACCAGCAATTACATAACCTCTAGTTAAATCATATCAAATGAGGGGAATAAAATTTAAGACAAATTGAAAGCATTAATTTTGCTTATGCTTTCACTGCGATATGAACTTGGTAAATCTGTTTTCAAGTCATTTTTTACATCGTTGATTAAAAAATGTGGCCAAGGACAAAGTTTTGGCCACATTCGTATATGACCCCGAAACAAATTTAGAATTATCACGCCATTTCTGACTAAAGTGTTGGTAATGGGTATAATATGTAATCTTCTGTGAATAGAAATCAGTCCTAGAGATTATCCCCTGTTATATGCCTCTAAGTAACTGGTTTACTCTCGTCTCTAAACTCTTTGTTTTTCTATAACCTTTTCATTGAATTGGCAACTTTTTAGACCATTGCAAATGTTGTTTATAAACACAAGGAAGGGAAAGCTAACAACGATATAAATTTGTTCGATTGTTCACATCCTTCCAGATGTATTAAAAAAAGATCATTTGTTACACTATTTGGGCGTTAATTACATACTTAGTAATAAAACATTTTAGGTCACCTGAGTCACTCGTGTTATCTATTGCTATCTGTTTCCGTCCGTCATCGTGCGTCTTTTGTTAACATTTAAGCATTTTAAGCTCCTTCACTAAAACTGCTAAATCAATTTTAGCTTATTTTAGAATATGGCATCTTTGGGTAAAGGGAGAACAAAATTTGTGAATTTCATGACTCCGTCACCCCTGGGGCCTAAGAAGAGGGGGTAAAACCATTAAATATGATGCAATCTTAAAAGATCGTCTTCTTTACTCCAGGACATCAAACAGTTAAAGTGTTGGTTTGATTGTAATAAGCATTGAGTCCTCTGCCAGAACTGTGAAACTCATGTCCCCAGGCCAGTTGACTGGAGTTAGGGTGGGGCTCTATTGATTATATAGAAAAATGCATAAATTCTTTTAAAATATTCTTCTCTGGTCCTGGCTATTAAGCAATCAAAGTAAGTGCATAATCATGATAGGGCGGGCTCTGTTCATTATATACCGTAGTGAAATGCATAAATTCTTTAAATGTCTTCTCTTTCTCTTTGTATTTAGCAAACAAAGTAAATGCATGGTTATGTTAAGCATGGATGCCTTTTCCAAAATTGTGAAATTCATGGCCCCAGGCGACAGGGGTTCTGATCTTGGTGGGAACATGTTAATATTATAGTGAAAATGCATAAATTCTTTATAAAAATCTTCTCAGAGCAAGGATGCTTCTTCCAAAATTGTGAAATTCACAGCCCCGGGGTCAGGGGCTCTGGTGTTAGGGTTGGGGCACTATTGATTATATAGTGAAAATGTATAAATTCTTTGAAAATCTTCTTCTCTGTCCATAGATATTTAGCAAACAAAGTAAGTGCATAGTTGTGTCGAGCAAGAATCTTCTGCAATTTTGAAATTCATGGCCCCAGGGTCTGAAGTTCTGGTCTTGGGGGAGGGGGTGTATTAATAATTTAGAGAAAATGTTTGTTCTAAGACATAGATTTCTTCAAGTTCAGTTGGATATTTGATTGATAAGAGATGGATATTTCTTCTGTCATGCTGCCTTAAAAATATGTTGGAACATCTCTGATTAAGCATGTGTTATCCATATCACGTGGGTATTGGGCAGAATAATCTGAACATTTTAATTGTAATTGATAGCATTTGCAAAATTAAAATAGATCTTTTTGGCCAGCCTTTTGTTTTCAAATTCATTATTATATGTAGTTTTAAAAAATTAATTTGATTCTGTATATTAATAGTTTTTAGCTCACCTGAGCAGAAGGCTCAAGTGAGCTTTTCTGATCACTTTTTGTCCGTCGTCCGTCTGTCCGTCCGTCCGTCTGTCCGTCTGTCCGTCTGTAAACTTTTCACATTTTCGACTTCTTCTCAAGAACCACTGGGCCAAATTCAACCAAACTTGCCACAAAGTATCCTTGGGTGAAGGGAATTCAAGTTTGTTCAAATGAAGGGCCACGCCCTCTTTCAAGGGGAGATAATTAGGAATAAGTGAAAAAATAATGGCATCATTTAAAAATCTTCTTCTCAAGAACCACTGGACCAGGAAAGATGAAACTTATGTGGAAACATCCTCAGGTGGTGTAGATTCAAATTTGTTCAAATCATGACCCCCGGGGGTAGGGTGGGGCGACAATGGGGGATCAAAGTTCTACATAGATATATATAGGAAAATATCTTTAAAAATCTTCTTCTTAAGAACAGTAAAGCCATGATTGGTCATATTTATAGGGAAGCATCCTGAGGTGGTGTAGATTCAAATTTGTTCAAATCATGACCCCCGGGGGTAGGGTGGGGCCACAATGGGGGATCAAAGTTCTACATAGATATATATAGGAAAATATCTTTAAAAATCTTCTTCTTAAGAACAGTAAAGCCATGATTGGTCATATTTATATGGAAAACATTCTGAGGTGGTGAAGATTCAAGTTTGTTCAAATCATGACCCCCGGGGGTAGGGTGGGGCCACAATGGGGGATCAAAGTTCTACATAGACATATATAGGAAAATATCTTTAGAAATCTTCTTCTTAAGAACAGTAAAGCCATGATTGGTCATATTTATAGGGAAGCATCCTGAGGTGGTGTAGATTCAAGTTTGTTCAAATCATGACCCCCGGGGGTAGGATGGGGCCACAATTAGGGATCAAAGTTTTACATAGAAATATATAGGAAAATATCTATA